GTGGTAAGAATGCATATCTAACTCTCGAACCCAAGCCCTTGCCATTCTTACTGCGCATGCTTGATGAGCTGAGCATGCGTGGTAAGAATGCATATATCACTTTCTAACCCAGGCCCTTGCCATTCTTGCTGCGCAGGCTTGATGAGCTGAGCATGCGTGGTAAGAATGCATATATCACTTTCTAACCCAGGCCCTTGCCATTCTCACTGCGCAGGCTTGATTTCCTGGCATTTCGAGCACTTTGCGCAGTAAGAATGACAGGGCTCTGGGTAGAGAGTATCAGCCTACTACAGGTGAGAAGCGCATATGGCGCAGCGGTAATCTCTCACCAATGTCACCCGGTTGCGAGTCCCACCATGCTCGGAATTGTTTGTAAGTAGAGTTGTTTGTTTGTTCTCTACGGTGCTTTGAGGGTGTTTCTTCGAGTCCTCCGGTTTTCCTCCCTCCAAAAAATCAACTTCCACATTCTAATTCGATCTATCGGTTGCCTTGTAATTGGTTCCTACACCTGTAGGGCTTTCCATCCACCTCAGAGTGGTAACAATGTATAATTTTTTAATGTTTAAATAATTGATGAAGCTTACCTAGTGCTTATTTTGGCTGAGTGTAGTCCATTCAATTCTCTCCACAGGCCACCTTGGATAAGTTCTTTGTACTGCAAACGCTCAGCTCACTTGCCATTGGTCTGACGGCCATGTTGTCTTCACTGCGTTGTTTTGGTAACAATAGGACTACTTTCTGGAGGTAATACCGCTGTAGTCTTTGGTTACAGGCTCAATAATAACCTCTGTCCTTGTAGGTTTACTAATATTATATGAAATGCAATGGCGGCGCACTAGAGTACAGGTTTTTACCTTCCGCTCTGCGCACACCTCCAGTGAATTAATAAGCATCTCTTAGTAAGTCTGCGAGTTTGATATGGTACAAGTCATGCCATTTCTAGAACACCGTACTTACCGTTTTATAGACCTTTCCTTGATAGCTAACACGGTGCATTGTGGTCTAGCTTGGATACATACAAAAAATTCTGTTCATCAGAATACCGTTACTAGGATAGCGAACATCCTGATGGTGCGTTGTGATCTAGCTTGGGTACAAGCATCTTTTGCTTTCCTAGTGAACCCAACTGGCCAAATTCTGTAGTGCATTATTGTTCACTAAAAATCACTATTGTAATGTTAATGTATAACAACTATTTTACCAATAGATACAATAGATATTGTCACTTTAATATGATGAATTGTTCAAGAGCTTTCTGGTTGGCATTCTAAACAACCATTAAAACAAACTATGTCACTGTACGCCCACCAATAAAAGGATTTGAAGGACCGATCCATTTTGTTTTACTTCATCAACGCTTCATTAATTCTTCTTTGCTTTCAGGGAATCGTCTACCGGCATCAATCGCCTCAGCTACTTCCTGGCTGTGAATATCGTGCAACTACCTATCATAATAATCACGCCTATGGTCTACCTCAGTCTGCTCTACCCCTTGGTTTCACCTCGAGGTAAGCAAGCATATATAAAATAAGTAGATGATGGCTAGTAAACACTAGCGTGGACTGCGACGGTGTTTCTAATGAAACAGTTATCGTAGATTGATAAGTTTTACACCGTAGTGAAAATAGGAATGACGTTTCGGACGTTAGTCCTTCGTCGGAGTCAACGAACGTCCGAAACGTCAGTTCCTATTTTCACTACGGTGTAAAACTTATCAATCTACGATAACTGTTATATATAAAATAAACGGAGCTTGGTGGATTTAAATTGAGTCCTAACAGCGCGGACTTTGATTAGCTGAGATTCATTTGCTGATAGCACCCCTCCCCCTCCCCCTCCTCTTTTTTTTCGCAAGCGAGCTTTAAAATTGTTTTCGCATTAACAGGGAAAATACGTACGGTACTGATTTATGTACACGAAAAGCTGTCTAGAAATGTTTTAGACTCCAGTACCCTGTAACAGCCCAGATTGAGATAAAAACGAATGTATCACCTTCTTTTCCCTTGAGCCCAATAAACTGTATTTTTTCGAGGGAACATATACATATATATATATATATTTCTCTTACGCTATCAATTGTTCTAATGTGTTAAGAGGGGATGTCAGCAAAAATCGAACAATTTTGAAATTTTGTGGCAACGGTCGAAAAATCGATTTCGCTCATATTCTAACCTTAGGTAGACCTTATTCTAACTAGAACCACTATGTAGTTTGTTTTTAAAAATATCGCTTATTTTACGAGAAAAACGAGGAAATTGATTTTTGCGGATTTCAGCCTTTTGACGGCGGAAAGAAATCGACTACTTCAGAGCCTTCGCGTCGCAAAGAAAAGTAATTCAGACATATAAAACCATTATAATCTTATCAATTGGTATCTAAACTTGTTTTAGGAAAATGTTCAGCTATCTCAGTTTCCTTTTTCAAGACGAAAAAAAAATTTTTTTGACCCATACATTTTACAATACCAAGAGTATAGAAAGTTTAAAAAAATATTTTGGTATGTGCTATATAAAATAATGGGCTAAAATTTGGGCTAGTTAAAGTTAAGATGCTATATAATCTCATTCCACTGAAATTTGGTTGGGTAAATTATTTATCGCGTAAATAAAAAGCTTGAAATTCTTAAAAAATTCAGCGATTTCTCTGTCGGCAAAGATCAGTCGATTTCAAT